AATCAATCTGGTCCCACGGCCCTCTGTGGCCCAAAGTTAAAAACTGTTGTTCTTTTGAGGCCCTCAAGGGTTAAGAATCTCTGCTCTAAATACCAGCTTGGAGCCTGGAGGCCCAGCCATCAACCACAAAGCATGGGTCAGCTGTGGCTCTGCCCATTGGTCCACGAGCACAGAGCCCCAAAATCCTGATCAGCCTTCTTCCATGACTTTACCCACAGCAGGAGTCCTCCCTGGAGCTCCAACCACCAACAGCTACACTCCTGTTCAGAGCCGTGGTTGTGAACCACAGAGTCCTCCTGTTCAGAACCGTGGTTGTGAACCACAGAGTCCTGTGTAGCAGTCAGAGCAATAAAAAGTCCTTTCATTAGCGGTTCTCCACTCCTCCCTCTTTAGGCAAAACCATCCTCCTGGTCTGTGTGCCCTGTCAGGCAGCATGGATGGTCTTCATCAGTAGGTGAGGGGAAGCTGAGCTGGATTCTGGTAGGAAGTACTGGTTCTCACTCCTCCAGTCAGAACTGCATCACCACATTTAAGTGGTTTCACAACAGTTTAGCATGTTCCTCTAAAGGTTTTCTTTTTTTGTCTTCAAAACATACAAACAATGAACCATAACTAGAGCCAGGTTCTGGGGTGTCCACTATCCTGCATGTTTCTCTGCTTCAACACACCTGGTATGAACAAATGAGTGATTGAGAGGCTTCTGCAGAACATGAAGAGGTGATTCAGTCGCTGAATCAGGTGTGTTGAAGCAGAGAAACAAGATTCAAGAGTTTTATTGTCATATGCCCAGCATGCAAGCAGTTACACTGTGCAATGAAATTCTTACTTTGTAGTTCCTCCATTTACTGACAGTCCGAGAGATTATAAATAAAGTACAACTGAGTTTAAATAAAGTAGGGTGGACAGAATTATAAACCAGTATTTAGTTTTTACAGTATTTTTAGACAAGCAGCAGCAGAATTTGTAGTGCAAAAAGTCGCTGCATATACTGTAGGTAAACATCAAACGTGATATAGAGCAGACAATATAGACACTAGTGTTATACAGTTGTTACATAAACCAGTGTAATGCAGAAATTAACACTATTGTAGAACAGTAGCCTCAGAATGTGTGGTGGGCTCATGTTACGGGTACATGTTAGGGTTCTGACAGTTGCAGAGTGAAGGGGGGTTGGAGCTGTTTAAACCTGATGGTTTGTGAATAAAAACTGTCTGTCAGCCTGGTTGTCCTGGACTTCACACTCCTRCAGCGTCGGCCCGATGGCAGGGGCRTGAAGATGTTGTGTWGGGGGTGAGTACTGTCCCTGATGATGCTGTGGGCCTTTYTGATGACCCTGGYCCTGTACATATCCTTCAGTGAGAAGAAGGTTGCACCGGAGATGGACTGTGCAGTCTTTATCACATGCTGGAGCCTTCCTGTCCTGAGTGCTGCAGTTTCCATACCACACTGTAATGGAACTGGTGAGAATGCTCTCAATCGTACTCCTGAAGAAGTTGCTGAGAATTTTGGTCGACATGCCAAACTTCCTCAGCCTTCTCAGAAAGTACAGCTTCTGCTGGGACTTCCAGACGATGTGGTTGGTGTGTGACCAGGTGAGATCCTCACTGATGTGCACGCCAAGTAATTTGAAGTTTTCCACCCTCTCCACCTCTGTCTCACCAATAAGCAGGGGTGTGTGGTGATCCTGCCTACTCCGCCTTGGATCAACAATCATTTCCTTGGTCTTRTCTATGTTTAAGGAAAGGTTGTTGAGATCACACCGTTCCACCAGCTCAGCCACCTCCTTCCTGTACGCTGTCTCATCCCCACCGGTGATCAGTCCAATGACTGTGGTGTCATCAGCATACTTAATGATACTGTTGTTGTGTGAGGCCACGCAGTCAGATGTGTAGAGTGTGTTACAACAGGGGGCTCAGCACACAGCCCTGGGGAGTCCCAGTGCCAACAGTTCTTGTGCAGGATGTGCGGTTGCCAGTCTTGACTGACCGGGGTCTTCCATCAGGAAGTTCAGCACCTAATTGCAGAGAGTTGGTTTCAGACCGAGCCTGTCAGTTTGACTGGGAWAGCCATGTTGAATGCTGAGCTATAGTCAATAAACAGCATTCTCACATAGGTGTCCTTTCCCKCCAGGTGTGTGAGGGCTGTAGGGATGGCAGTGTTGACTGCATCGTCAGTGGATCGGATCTGACGATACGCAAACTGTAGAGGATCCAGAGTATCGGGGACGGCCTCCTAGATGTGACCCATGACAATCCTCTTGAAAACCTTCATCACTATTGGAGTGAGYGCAACAGGCTGATAATCATTCGGGCAGGTCACGACACTTTTCTTCAAGAAGGGGATGATGGTGGTGGYCTTAAAGCATGAAGGAACAGAAGCWTATGCRAGGGACAGATTGAATATGTCCGTGAGCATGCCAGCAAGTTCTGAAGAGCAAACCTTGAGTGCATACCCAGGTACAGCATGTTGTCTGGGCCAGCTGCCTTTTGTGGATTYATTCTCTTCAGCACCTTGCACACCTGCACTGATGTCACCATGAGTGATGGGTTCTGTGTGCYCCCCATGTCCATAACCTCCCWCYGTTTGTCRGAGYTGAGGGCATCAAATCGAGCATAGAACTCGTTTAACTCATCTGGTAGTGTATTGTGGCTTGTTGTGACCTCTGTGCTTCTCTGTTGGTAGTCTGTGATGTGRCTCAGTTACACATGTGCCGGGAGTCCGTAGAGGAATAGCATTCCTCCAGCTTCAGTCTGTGGTGTCTCTTGGCTTGTCTGTTAGATTTACACAGGTCATTTCTGGCTGTCTTGTAGTCTTTAGCATTTCCTGAGAGAATGCAGCAGAGCAAGCATGAAACGTGGACTTAACATCACACATTATCCAGGGTTTCTGGTTGGGATAAGCCCTGCAGTGCTTAGTAGGAACAATGTTTTCACTGCAGGTGCTGATGCAGCTGGTTACTCCAGAGGCGTAGTCCTCCAAGTCAACGAAGCAATCATCTCTCACAGCACCAGATCTAAACACATCCCAAAAACAAGTCAAACGTGCAGGATCGTAGCCCTCTAGGACCACCTGACACATTAGGTCCTCACCAGAGTTTGTTTCCCCCGTTGGTCCAGACCTTTTATGCAGGTGTGAATACA